AGTCAAGTCAAGTCAAGTCAAGTCAAGTCAAGTCAAGTCAAGTCAAGGCAAGTCAAATCAACTCAAGTCAAGTCAAGGCAAGTCAAGTCAATTCGATATCCCATATGTTCATCAAATCACATGAAATGAAGTCAAATCAAACCACTTCAAATAAAATGGAATCACATCACACAATATCAAGTGATATCGACACATGTCATAACATAATGCATGACATCACACAATATCAAATCATGTCACATCAGATATCAAATCAAATTAATATCATACAATATAACACACCTCACACAATATCAAATGAAATCACATAAAATCAATCCAAATTGAATCATATCAGACCTACGACATCACGTCAAATCAAGTCAAAAGAAATCAAATCCAGTCAGTGAAGAGAAAGTTATGTAAATAAAAAATATTAATTATCGAATAAATAAAATAAAATAAATAAAATTTAGAATTGTTATAATTAAAATAATGTTAATTTAATAAAAAATAACGTCTCTATGTAATGATATACTGGAAATGAAGATAAAATAAGAGAAGAGAACGAAAAATGACACTGAAGATGGCACAACGCCGAAAGCGGTTTGTCTGCAAACCAAACTTGCCAAGGGATGACGGAAATTCGTTCCAAAATAAATAAAATAATAATAATAATAACTTATCACCTTAAGTTTGGAAAAAAAGTTAAGCTTCTCAATTAAGTCTTTTTTTTTCAAATTAAGAATCGAAACGAAATGGTATAGAGTAGTGCTCTAAACATAGCTATAAGATAAAGAGAATAAATCTGCTTCATGCGCTGCAAATTCACAAGTAACCTATAGCTTATGCCGGATTTCCACTAGACATTAAATGACATAAATTTTAATAATAAACTTGAGCATTAAAAAATACCTGTGACATTACGTTAAGAATTTTTTTTTTTATTAAATTCGTTTCTACATGGCCTAGCGGAAATTAGGCATTAGTATCCTCCAGCTCTCAAGAAATATTTTTTCAATCATTCTGTCGCTTGACATAGTACTTTAAAAAAAATATTGAAAGAAGAATATCAATTTCGTTTACATTTCTTGAGCGCTGGATACTTTGCATGAGCCATATATCTGTAATAGAGAAATGATTCTAAAGAATTTTGATTTCTTAAATAGACAGATGACTCATACTCATATGATTATAACGGTTGTGCGAAGTTAGTAAGAAAGCTAAATAAACGAGGTAATCTTATTTTGTAAAATTTCCTTTTCTTAATCTTGGTATGTAAGTGGAATTTTCATAACTAGTATATTGTTTTTTTTTTTGTCAGCCAATTTTTCGTGGGTGTCGTGTCTAACTATCAAATCATGCCTAATAGAGAAAAAAATTTGTATAAATCTTTAGAAATAAAAGAAGAAAAATTCTCAAAAAGTTGCATTAACTACCAAAGCCATCAGAATCAAATGCAAAAGTCGTGCGAAAAATCGCCCAATGTTGAAATTAAAGTGAATTTCGTTACAACAAAATGCTTGTAATGCAATTTTTTTTTGTCTTATTTTCTTGCAAGCAAATTAGCATGGCTATGGCGTAAAAATAATATTTCATGTTTTTGCAGATTAAACTTTATGTTGATATTTAATGCATATATGTATGTATGTATATATCTACCTGTCCATCTTTTCATATGACCATTGCTTACTCAACATCCCCACATAGTTGTTACTGCAATCGAATGAAGGTGCCTTAATGCAAATCTTTGGCAAGTCTACCGAATTATGACTGATGTTAGGTGGGTGGTTAGGAAAATATTGTAGTAGTAGATAAAGGAAATGCGCACACAGCAAATTTTTTTGTACATAAAAACATACATATGCACCTAAGTAAGTATGTATAAATATGTTGGCTGTGTGCGTGTTTGTGTTTTTGTTGGTGTCGTAGGAAAAATTGGCATTTCAGGAGTGTTAAAGTATAGCTATATAAAATTCAAATATCCCATACGGTGGAGACAACGTGTTGGGCGAAAGGCCGAAAAACGGCTCGCGCGGGGACGCGTAAAAGTATGCTTAGTCAAACTGGGCATTCAACAAAGCGTACATGCGTGCTTCAGATTATAGACAAATGTTTTTTTTTTTTTTAATTTTGCTGAGCATACTTTTAGACAGACCTCGTTGCAAATATCTTGGCGCTATTGGGAAATGTTTTTTTTATTAAAGCTTTAATATAAACGAAGTAACTAATAATATTTGTATTAATAGGATTCGGAAAGAGTAATATCAATAAAAAAGAATATTGAAAAATATTCATCATTCGGTTGCTACATTCTTTATAGTTGTAGATATTAATTTATAAATTTTCTTGGAAAGTGGTTAATGGATTTTGAGACAAGCACAAGACAAAACGTTTTTTTGTTATATACTTACGATCGTAGTATTGATACATGCCCTTCTTCATCGTGTCTACAAAAGATATGAGAGTTATGAGAAAATGATTAAGGGTTAGTAGTGAAACATGAGTAAATATATATATATATATATATGAAGAGAGAGCGATCGAGATGTTGGTTAGGTAAAAAAAAAAGTTTTAAATAAAAAATAGCAACAGTACTTAAAGCAACTACAAATAATGAAATATAAAAAAAAAAACTTAGCTGACACATTAATGTATACATATGTAAATACAATAAAACTACATATGAGCTAATGTGCAATTCGTGTACGCACACGAAAATGGCTTGAAAATTTGTGCTGCTTTCACTTCTTTAATATTCAAAAGGCAATCAGTAGTGAATATTTTCAATCCATTCTCGTCGCTTTTTTCTCTGAAAACCTCCACTTTACCTATCATTTCGCTCATCGACAGTATCCACTGACATTTCAATAATGGCATGTGGATCCCCTGTCTGCTGCAGTTCTGATTGTTGTTGCCGATCTGGTTGTGTATCGTTTATGAGTGGCGGTATCGATGATGGTGGGGAGGTGTCTGAGGTGATGGTATTCAAATCGGTAACATTCGTTATACTATGTGGCAATGGTCGTGTGTTCGTTTCGTTTTGTGTATCAATCGAAGCAGAACCAATCGAGCCAGCAGGATCTGCATTCTCATCACTAATAATGGCGATGCAATGTGAAACGGCAAACAGCAAAGTATAAAAACGTTTACAAATAAAAAGAGGTGAAGTTAAAAAAAAAAACAAAAACAAAACGTGTTGTGGTTTCGTGGTGGCGATGGCGTGATGATCATGAAGAATTGCACGGCACAGCGAGCGAGGAGTGTACGTGGCACAAACGAAACAAATATATGCAAAAGAAGGAGATAAAAAAAGGTAATGAAAATAAATAAGACATGAACAAACTAAATATTTTATACTAGGATAACGTAATGAATGCGTAAAACTTAATATTGGATTTGATAGGATTTAGTTTTCTTCTTAAGAATATAACTAATATCGATACCTGAGTGGAAGATCGACCGACATATCTTGGCAGCCAGAACGCCCTATTTCAGAATTTTATTTAAGAAGACCCTATCTCAGAATTTGGTTGCAGAACGCCCCATCTCAGCTGCCGATTCAAAACCGCCTATCTTAGTACATTTTCAATGTATTTTCAGCTGAGATAGGGCGTTCTTCAACCAAATTCTGAGATAGTGTTTTTTTAAATAAAATTCTGAAATAGGGCATTATTTAGATAAATTTTGAAGTAGGACGTTCTTGAACAGTTTTCTGAGATAGGGCGTTTTGAATCGGGTGCCGAGATAGGTCGATCTTCCACTCAGGTGACGATATGTGATAAATTAATTAAAATAAATTTTTTAAGCGCTGGTTGGATCGTTTGGGGATACTAAATGCTATGTATATGAACTAATTTTAAATCTGTCAAGAAATGTAGTAAATGTGAGCTGGAAGTTTTTTTTTTTTTGCAAAACGTCATATTAGGTATGGATTCCATAACTGCTGGAGTTCTCTAAAGGAAACGCTATTTAAAGCTGGAAAGTATGCCCACAACTGTCGTTCTGGGAAACAGTGTCGCACAGCGGACCACCCTTACTCTAACACCCGATGCTATGCAGACCATATTCGAAAATAGCGTTACAAAAAAAGAAATGTTTAAATATTGGATAATATTCAGAACCTGCTTATAGAAGCGCACGTAGGGCTCTACTGCCAAAATGGGGTTGGAAAATTTCAAAGTTATTTTTTCAGCCAACGAAGGCCGAGGAGAATAACAAGAGTTATCAAAGATCTAACAGAGCATTTTCCGATATACTTCTATAAAAAAAACCGGTAGTTCTTCATTCCCCCAAAAAGGAAGTATATTGTTATGCTCAACTGATCGATTTATGTATATCGGTCCCTAAATTTTCGTTTTAATTTGAGAGCTGCATACTGCTGCCATGTTCGAGTGGTTAGAGGTGCGCACTACTGCTAGGTATGCCTAAGGTTCGATCCCTGGTTAGAGCAACATCCAAATAAATCTTTTCTCTAATAGCTGTCAGCAGGCGATGTATTTTTGCCATGAAAAAAGATTCTTCTCATCGTGGGGAAGGGCATGAAGGACATACGAGCATTGGTGAAGAATTTCCAGCAATGCCAGTGTTGTAAACATGTAGTGAACTTCAGACATTTTCAGTATCGGATAAACGATTCGAGCAAATTAACAATCAAATGGCTACACCTATTGTCTCACCTGCATTGATAGTTAGTTACTCCAGATGGGTGGAAGCTAATCCACTACCCAGTAAACAGCGGAAATCGTGACTAAAGCTTTGTTTAGCCGTTGGATATGTAGATTTATACATAACCACCGAATTTGAAAGCGATTTGTAAGCGATTTGTTTAATAAGATGGCTCGGCTTCTCGGTATTAAACATCTGCGGAGCACAGCTTACCATCCGCAATCTAATGGCTTAGTTGGGTTGCCTTGGTGAGAAGCACGATTCGACGGATCATATCCGAAAAAACGGCGAAGGATGATTTAGGAGCATCCACGGCGGAACTGGCCTACCGGCAGGTAAATACATATGTTTTCTTGCGAGATGACACTGTGAAGACACCATTGAAAGCTCCATATGAAGGTCCATTTGAGGTACTGGAACGCCACCCTGAATCATTTTCCATTCACGTTAAAACCAAGCCTACCACGGTGCCCATCGATAGGTTAAAGCCAGCGTATCTTCAAAACGGCACGTACGTTTTTGGAATGCGTGCCTAAACAAGGGGGGTGTCTCTAAGAAAAAGGGTGGCGTAGCGGCGACACTGAAAGGGCCATAAGTAATTATGGTGTTTGACGACAGTGTATGATCGCTACCATTTTCATTCGATTTAAAATAGTTGGGCATTTCAGCGTTACGCACCATAAGTTTGATTTTTCTATTGCCTTTTTCCGATTCTTTGTTCCTTTTTCCGGCTTATTTCGCTATTTTATGTTGCCTTTTTTATTGGCAACTTTCTGTTCGGCAAAAAATTTTAACAAAACTTATACCAATGGCATTCTGAAAATCTATGCCCATCGCCGCTTTTCATTTAGAGAACTTCGCGTATGATTTTGGAAATCCCTTTACAGTACCATAAACTAAATGCGCTGGTATAAGATTAAGTCTTCATGATTCTTGGAAAGACTATATATACATATGTATGTATGCACATATAAATTATTTGATCAATTCAGCCAACATTTAAATGCAATAACCAAAACTTTATGTAAAAAGTATTCAAATACTAAACAGGGACGACAAACCAACGCTTATAAATAACTAAACGATCAATAAAGCATACGAAATTTATGCAGGCAAAATGTATCACAAAAACAACAAGCCATAATATACTATTTGACGGGGATATAATAGCTTAGTATTTTTTTAATTTTAAATTACCTTGGCGACAAATTCTTAATATTGACAAAGACTGTGCTGGCGGCTGGTCGTATCAGCAAATTGACGCTATGAGTTTCCTGTAAAGAAAACGGGTGAAAAATAATAAAAAGATTTGTGTTGTGAATTTTATGCAATAATACAATACCTTAAGCAAGCGCTTTTCATTCGACATAATTTTATTCACATAACGATAGTTGCGTGACAAGCGATGTAAACCAATTGTCAGAGATACAAGGAAACCTTCCAATAGACGAATTATGGGATTTGCCTCCAAATCTAAAATAAAGCAGCGAAATTTGTAAGTATTAGATATTTGTCAACTAAATGACAGTGTATTAAAACTGATTTATTTTATAAGATAATTTTTTCACTATAAAAATTTTTTTTCTTTTCCTTTACTTACCATCTTCAGAGTCCTCAGAGTCGACTACATCGCTCTTTTTCTTCTTCTCCTCCAATTCGGATGCCTCTTTTGCTTCCTTGCTTGTTGATGGTGTTACTTCGGACTTGCGTTTTATGTCAGTCTAGTGAATTATTATAAGACAATTATTTGCTTTAAATAAATATTTGAATTTGTCTGGAGAAATTGCTTCCAAAACCGCTCTACTACAAGGTTATAGTGGTAACAAAAGATTAAGTAGGTGCTGGTTGGTATGGTGAGATTAGGTATGCTATTTTTATGAATATTTTGAAACTAATTCTCAAAATTGTGTTGTTGGAATGTTTCGCGATTCTTCTGAGCTATGAGTAACCATCAAAGTGTTGGCTTATGCCGACAGTGTAGCTTTACTTGTATCGAGTTAATTTCTTTCACTCATACACGAAATTATGGAGGACGCTCTTACGAAAGCCAGGGCCATAAAGTGTTCGCTTAGTGTCGTTCACAATGACAAGCTAACTCACGCTCGGCAGTTAACTATAGATTTTTTATTAAAAAAATTATTTTTTTATTATGTAGATCCGAACTCAACTGGATCTACATATCGTCGTCTCAGAAAACGGATGACGAATGTGCAAAATCACGATTTTGGGATTTTGATGCAGATTTACTAAGTTGGACATGCTCTTTCGATTTCTGCAATCCATTTTTTTATATCTCCATTAGTTTTTGAGATATTTCGTGCGCATTTTGTCGTATGTTACATAATATTAATGATTGGGTATGCCTTTTGTTGTATGTGCTGAAAATGCGTCACATACGACAAATTCCCATACAAACGTACCTTTTTTTTAATCATAAAACGTTTGTCGTATGTGGCACATACGACAAATTCCCATACAAACGTATCTTTTTTTTAATCATAAAACGTTTGTCGTATGTGGCACATACGACAAATTCCCATACAAATGTAATCTTTTTTAATCATAAAACATTTGTCGTATGTATCGCAAAACTTTGAACTTACGACAATTGGATGGTCCTCTACTATAACGATACAATTAAAATTGAAAATTAAACTAAGTAACTAATTTTAAAATTTTAAATTTTTAAATTTTAGCTTGCACTGAGTCTCCAATGAAATGAAAGAGATAAAAATGTACAAAAGACTGAATTTAAGTATTGTTTTTTGTTTTTATATAAAGAAAACGTATGTTCGTAACATATTTACAGCATAAGAGATGTACAGATTTTTTTTATTAAATACATGATTATGTTTTTGTTATGTTTTTTCTAATAAGTAATCATTATTTAATAAATATGTCTGTTTTTTTCATCAAATTATACCATCGTCGTTGAAATAGATACTTTACTATTGTCGTATGTTCTGTGGACAAAACAAAGTGGTGAGTAAACGCTACTTACGACAAATGTATACGGAATGAAAAGTAAATTTTCTCATTAACGTTAAGAGGTATTAAATGTAAAAATATGGGAAATCAAAACTAATAACACCAACTACGTCTCCTTCAAAAGTTACAAAAATCTACCGTACAGTTTCGGATTAATTCGACCTTAAACTTCAAAGTCAATTTTCTCAAAACCGTGTTTTGTAACATTCGACATCCGTTTTCTGAGACGACGATATGTAGGTGGCATATATGGCTATGCAGCGACCTAAACCCATATGGAGCGCTCGGCTCTACAGCCTTTACTAAGGATTCATTCATTAACAACTTAGCGGAATTCAGAGTTAAACTAATAAGGAAAGGATAGTCTGATCCCCGAACTTTTTTGATGTGTAAACATTTTTGCTCTGTGTAAACCTTCCCGCGTAAACCAGCACGATACAAAAGTAATACAAATAAAAATAAATCTAATTAGCTGTTCTGGCAACACTGTTCATTTATATATATTTAGTTTGAGACTTTTCGGGACCATTTCTGGACATCTTCAGGGATAGTTTGAAACTTTTTCGAGAAAATTTAGAGAATAGTTCAAGACCTTTTCGGGTTTAGTTGGGGACCATTTCGGAATTAGTTCGAGACCATTTCGGGCCTAGTTTGGGACTAGTTTGGGATCATTTCTGGCCTAGTTAAATACTTCCTCAGGAACTTGGAACTTTCTCGGGATAATTTGGAGACTAGTTCAAGACCTTTTACTGTCTGGTTCAGGAACTTTTCGGGTCTAGTTCAGGAGCTTTTCGGGTCTAGTTTGGGCTTAGATCCAGATCATTTGCACTTGTTCAGATGTTGACACATCAAAATTCACGAGTATCTGAAACTCGCGCCGTTTTTTGTTTGGCTATGCAATCATGCAGCACATTCAGATACTCTTCTCTTTCTCAGCAAGACTGTAGGAGAGAGATGGCCACAATTTCTGACCAGTTCGAAATTATCCTTATATGGGCTCCAGGTTATAAGGACATGTACAGCGGATAGATAAAGTTTGAGTGCTCCCCTGACCTCGTGTGGTGTACTACTAGACATATGGGCGTTTAGTAAGCTCGCCAAGCGCAGGGCGAAGACCTTGGAATGCATGGTGGGAGCTCTTGAGATTATGTAAGTCAAACCTCTCGCTATTGGTGTGAGTTCTAACTGGTCATTGCGTGATAGGTAAGCATGCGGTAGGGCTGAATATCATTGATGACTTTTACTGCGACAGCTGCATGAAGAATAATGAGGTGAAATCATCTCAACACCTGTTGCTTTGGTGCCCAGTATTTGCGAACCAAAGGTACAAGCACCTTGGGACGCACTCTCTTGCACACTCCTGTTGAGCTTTCGGGAATGGATATCAGTCGCTTGAGGAGCTCAATTGTAAGCATGGAGCGTTTTTCTTATAATAAGACGTAAATGTCATCATTCGGCTCCTTCCCACGCTCTGTTTTTACCCTCCCCCTCTGCTTATTTGTTTTGCCGTGGCACTACGCTTTAAACGAACCTGCTGATCGTAGATTCACTTTTTGAACGACTAAGGGTTAGTTTTCACTGTGTCAAATTCAATGGCATTTAGCGTCTAATATGTGAAAACACATTGTCAAATGGGACTAAAAAAGATCAGAATACGCCTTCAATCGCCAACATCTATATGTCACAATATAACCGGTTAAGGTTTGGATAAAGGAGATATAGTTGTGTAAAAATATGACACAGTGAAAACCAGCCTTTAGATATCATGAATGTTAAATAAATAAAGTGATTTAAAAAATTTGGGTTTACGAATTATGCTAGATGGGAATAAAATTAGGTGACTAAAATCTACTTTGGGGTACATACTAAACATACAAATATATTTTTAACCAGAGGTGATACATTTTGTTTTCTAAAGGTGAATATTTTTTTGTGGGTTTATGGTGTTATTAGCAAGTGGAAGCAAATATATTTTTTATATAATTTAGAAGTGATTAAAATGTGATTTTTTGATTTCGCTGCGATTTTTCTAATTCAGTTTGTGCTTTTAGTTAAATTCTTTGGTGTAAGTGTAAATGTGGGTTGGTTAGTATATATTTGCAATAAAACTAGTGACGTTATAAGAACTTAACAGCACGTTTCGCGCACAAAAGTTGGTACTTTTTTATGCCATACAGTTATAGCGCTCCGGTAATAAATAATTCTTCTATATGAATAAAGAAAGCAAAAAATTCTGTTACTACACACAGATAAAGGACAAAGATGACTAATTCGTGAAATTCGTTCATTTTTTTTCAGATCATAAATGTGGTATATACAGCGATTTTCATTTCATTTTCGGTGAAGAGGGGGTGCGTCACAGCGATCTATGTACATCGATTGGCTAACTAGTACTTTCAAATAAAAATTTTCATCAACGCACGGAGTATGTACATAAGTACTCGTACTACACTCACAAAGTATTCGCTAGCCGAACGCGGCGGTACAGAGTAATCGTGTGGCTCGGATAACGTCGATGTACGCACACCAGCCTCATTTTCGGTTTCCGTCTCTAATTCTTCATCGATTTTAATGCCAATTCGGGAACCAGGCGCCGAAGCGTATGAACGCTGACGCATATAGACTTGACGACGAAATTCGGCAGTTTGTATATCCTTCCAAACCTTTTTGTTTTATTTGTTGTTTTTGGTCATGCATTAGTTGTATGTATTTCGGAAATATGTTTATTTGTGTGTGCATTTGTAAGTGTATGTGTGTTTGTGTAAATTGAATTAATTTTGAAAAGCATCCGAATGAGGGCAGTAAGTATTAAATAAATTCAATTCAGGTAAAAATATTAGCATGTGTTACTTAAACCTATACAGGGTGTTTCAACAAGAGGTGTTTGAATACATTAAAACAGTTAATAAATGGATTGTAATTTCAATACTCTTGAATAACAAAAAGTTTTGGGATTATCGAGGGTTTCTGCAGATTTTCTAGTTTGAAGGAAACCCCTCATAATTATTGTTTAAGTATTTTGTATGTCTTTAAATGGCTGTTCCGCTAACTCTTTGTCTGGTCACTTGTCAAATGGCTTAAAAATATTGCAAATCCAGCTTAAGCCGTAACTAAGGCCAACGTGTATTAAACCGAATGAGAACTGGGAAACAACCCTGCAAAAAATTGTGCGACTAATCTCTAAAGAGAGTATTCCGGGATTACTCTCAATCGGGTACAATTGGGCATTAATTAGTCCCAATTAGTCTCATACGGGTACTAATGGAGGTCAATTAGTCTCGACTCATCCCTTGTGGGTATAATTGGAGATCAATTAGTCCCCAACTCATCTCTAACGGGTACTATTAACGATTTAATGCACGATTGAGAGAATACAAAGGTTGCGCAGATCTCGGACCGCTATTCCTCTCTTAACGAGTTTGACAGAATCGTTGTTTGCATGACGTCACACTTGTGCAACTTGTTTACGTTTTCCTTGCAACATTTTTTTCTTCTTCTTCCATTCTTGCTCACGTTTTGGCATTTCTCTCTCGCAATTGCACCAGTGTGACGTCACCCAAAAGTTATTCTCAAAAATCCTCTCTGATCGGCGCAATCTTGTATTCTATCATTCTTGGATTTAATGATATGTACGCTCTTAGTCAATGAAATTTCGTGTGCGGCATTGGCACACAGAGAGAGTATTCGCCTAACAAAACTGAGCACCTCTGTTCGAATCTCAGCTGGCGCAAATTTTTATTTTTATTTTTTAAAAGTGACTAGTCGCTTTTTATACCCGTTCGGGTATAAAGGTGAACAATTCGTCTCTTCATAGGACATGCTCGAACAAAAGCGATCAGTTCATTCCATATAAAGAGATCAAAAGTGGTATTAGTCGCATGCTCCTTTGCGATTGCTCCCAGAGTCATCCCGGATTAGTCCCATTTTTTGCAGGGAAGCTAAATCAAACATTCTCATGTAAGCTATCGTGGATTTTCGTATACATACATACAATCACATGTTGATTTTTAACCGACTTCAAAAAGGAGAAGGTTATCAATTCGTCGTGATATATATTTTTTTTAATGTTTGATACCGCATAACTTTGGACCACGTAAACCGATTTTCTATAACTCTTTTTATAAAAGAAATGTGGTACATCACAGGTGGTCCCATACAAATTTGGTTTAAATCCGATCATTGGATCATGAAGAAATTTATGGTGCTCTTAAATTTTTATATGAGAATTAAAGTCGGTTTTTTTTGCTAAAAAATTAGTTGTTTCAAAATTTTTTTCAAGTAATTTTTTAAATTTTTAGCTTTAAGCTTGGCTAAGTTGAGGAGCAGCGGGCAAGCTAAGATACCGATACACTTAGATAGGCCGTCGGCTACTACTGCAAAGCTGAGCGAGGTAGCGGGCCAAAATCTAACGGTTGCGTTGTGGGGCCGTAATGATTTCCCTAGAAAAATTTCCCACTGAAAGGTGGAAGCCTGTAGAGGGGCAGCTACTCAATGTGATGATTAGCCGAATGCTTGAATAACATTTAGACCGCGTCGCTCCAACAGTCGCAATGGCTGAGTGAGCAAAACACGGCTGTGCCTTGCAAGAGATCTCTTTTAATTTTTAGATTGTTTATTTTTTTTAAATTATATTTTTTAATTGCATTTAATTTCTATAAACTTGATTTATGTATTTTGTTCTTGATTTAATTTTTAGATGCTATTGTTTCAAAAAGGAGAATATTTTTTTTTTATTTTATGTAACTTTTAGCAACTCACTTTATTTTTATTTTTAATACTTTTTTCGTTTTTAGGTTAATTCTTTTTTTGATTTTTACATTTTATTGTTTAACAAAAACCTATTTTTTTATTTCATTTAATTTTTTAACAGTTTTTTGTTTTTCTTTTTTTAACTTTATATATTTTTCTTTTATTATTCTCTTTTTCCTTTTAATTTTATTGTTTTATTTCATTTAATTTTTATCATCTTATTTTAGTTTTTTGTGTTTTTGAATAATTTTTTTTGAATTTTTAGATTTTGTTTTAAAAAATAAAAGTATTTTATTTTTTTCTTTAAACTTTTTTCTTTTTCTTTTGTAGATAGACTATATTGTTTTCAGAAGGAAAAAAAATATATTTTTTAATTTAATTAGCTTTTTAAAAATTATTTAAGTTATTTTTGCTTAATTTTCATTTTATTTTGTTTTAGTTTTTTAGTTTGATTTTCTTTTATTTGATTTATTTGAATTTAAAAAAAAACGTATTGCTAAAAAGCTAACAGCAAAACGCTAAGACCTCTTCATAGCAAGTCTTTCAATTAGTCTTTCGAAAGACAGTCAATAGCTTTCAAGGTTGTGCCAGAATTACCCTGTAAGTGGTTTGAAGATGCCAACGTAGCGTAATGGTGCATTTACATGGTATGAATCTGTTCATAAGCCGTATGAATTTTCCTATAAAAGAAGCACCAACTCTATAAATAAATGAATGAAAGCGATATATATATTTAACATTTTTGACTTATATACTTGGCAAGTATTTTTTTTGTAAACAAAAAAACAAAAAAATTTCATTTTGTGCTAACTTCGAAACTAGCAGCTTATTTTATTTTTAATGTGCTTTAAAAAGGACCTACTGCCAATAAAGCCTTGCGGTTTGGTATTTTTTCAAATGTGTAATGCTTCATTCAAACATCTTTGTGGATAAACAGTTTTTTGTTCAGAAATTGCTTGTTTACGTTTTTTGTCTTTCATATAAAAATATTTGGCATAAGTTGAAATCATAGGGATGCCGTTTTATTTCGTTTCTCAATGGATTTTATACTTGAAAAGGCACCAAAATATATATGCACTACTTTTACATATCGTCATTCAAAGTACAAAACCGCGCATCAAGAAAATGCAAAACCTTGTATGTGAGGTTGCCTAAATTTTATAGGAGAGAGTAAAATTTGTCATAATTCAAAACGGTTCCCTCTTTTAAACTTAATTATCTCTTCTTATGTCTACGTATCGAAATTTTAGTATAAATGATTAAGAGCTTGATGATAGGAGCTTCCGGTGAGCAAATATCTTTTTTTGGCACAAATGTCAGTTACGAGGTTTTACAGAACCACGATACGCGATTTTTAACTTTAAACGACGATATACAGATTGGCGCTTACACAATATGTTAGTGTTTGGCCTAGCTTCTCCTCCCATATGGGGCGTGCACCTTGATTTTGTCACACAAAGGGGAAGGGCAGTTTTACGCCGACTCCGAACGGCAATTGTATTTTTATGAGAAGCTGTTTTCATGACAGAATACACTCGGAGGTTTACTATTAGGAGCGTTCCTTATCTCCCAGAAATAGTCAGAAAAAGTTCGAAGTAGTCAGATTTAGTCCAAAAAGCGTTCCTTAACTCGGAAATGACAGCTAAAATGAGAGAGCAACACCCAGTGAGAGTGACTCTCATCAGTCCGAAGTAGTCAGATTTAGTCAGAAGAATTTTTTCTGGCAAAACCCTGAAAAGTGTCAAACTCAACTAAATTTAAATTGACGGAAATTAAAGAATATGCAAAAAGTGAGAATAATCTAAAAAGCAAAAAAAGTGAATTGAAATTGGAAGGAGGCAAAAAATAATTGATACAGTAAGTGTTTATTGTGCTTGTGCTTGTGTGAATGTGTTTTGTACATACATTTCCATTCTTATTTGACGTTAGCTTTGTTGTTGCCATTCTTTGGACTAAAAATTTGGTTTTTTGCGTTCCTTTACTTTTCCTGTTATTCTCTTTTAGTGAGCGCATTTTGCTTACGCTCTGGCATTTTGACACTTTTCAGAT